TTGGGAGGTTCTCCGGGAGTACGGGGTCGGAGGTCCTCTGCTGAGGGCCGTCCGGTCCCTGTATGACCGGAGCCAGAGCTGTGTTCGCATTGCCGGCAGTAAGTCAGACCTGTTCCCGGTGAATGTTGGCCTCCGACAGGGCTGCTCTTTGTCACCGGTTCTGTTCACTGTATTTATGGACAGAATTTCTAGGCGCAGCCAGGGGTCGGAGGGGGTCCGGTTCAGAGACCACAGGATTTCATCTCTGCTGTTTGCGGACGATGTTGTCCTGTTGGCTCCAACAAACCAGGACCTGCAGCATGCACTGGGGCGGTTTGCAGCCGAGTGTGAAGCGGCTGGGATGAGAATCAGCACCTCCAAATTCGAGGCCATGGTGCTCGACCGGAAAAAAGGTGCCTTGCCCTCTACAGGTGGGTGGAGAGGTCCTTCCTCAAGTGGAGGAGTTCAAGTATCTCGGGGTCTTGTTCACGAGTGAGGGAAGAATGGAGCGTGAGATTGACAGGCGGATCGGTGCAGCGTGCGCAGTGATGCGGTCGCTGTATCGGACCGTTGTGGTGAAGAGGGAGCTGAGCCGAAAGGCAAAGCTCTCGATTTACCGGCCAATCTTCGTTCCCTCCCTCACCTATGGTCATGAGCTTTGGGTAATGACCGAAAGAACGAGATGGCGGATACAAGCGGTCAAAATGAGCTTCCTCCGCAGAGTGGCTGGGAGCTCCCTTAGAGCTAGGGTGAGGAGCTCAGTCACACGGGAGGAGCTCGGAGTAGAGCCGCTGCTTCTCCACTTCGAGAGGAACCAGTTGAGGTGGCTCGGGCATCTGTTCCGGATGCCTCCTGGGCACGTCCCACCAGGAGGAGGCCCCGCGGAAGACCTAGGACACGCTGGAGGGACTATGTCTCTCAGCTGGCCTGGGAACCCCAGGCCCCCTCCAGCTGGCCCCCCGGACGAGCTGGAGGAAGTGTGTGTGGATAGGGAAGTCTGGGCGTCTCTGCTTAGACTGCTGCCCCCGCGACCCGGCAACGGATGAAGCGGAAGAAAATGGATGGATGGATGGATGGTAAAGATGCAGTAAGCAATTTTGTTAGCTTAGCCGTAGCACCGACTCAAAACTACTCCAACCTCCCCTCGCCTCTCCACTAAAACAAACATTCAGCATTTTCTTTCCTTTGTCACAACAGGGAGAGTGGGTGGCAAACGTGAAATTGGCATTTTTTGTTCAGTTATTAGTAGGTTTTAGAAAATCCGATAAGTCAGGTCCGCACACTCACGAGAAACAGGAAGAGGGCGAAGGGGGTTGGTTCGTTGGGGATGATCGAATCCCATTGGTTTATTATTATCGGTTCGCTCCAAAATATCTTGTATTGGCATCTGGTCAATTCCATTACTATTTGAAAATACATGATTACTCCTAGGGTTAAGGGACATTTTCCACAATATTTAAAAAAGTGTCTCTGAAAAAAATACTGACTGCATCTTTAAATGTCCACTGTTTGTACTGTGCACTTGTATATGAAAGTCATTTTTAAGAAATTCTATGAAGATTTTTTTAATACACGTCTTATATCTATTTTTACGTTTAAAACTTGTTTGTTTAGTCAAAGCAAATACCTAGTTTGTGACATCCTGTTACTTACAATGGCAATACAGATTATCTTGACAATATTCTTCTTTAATTCTGTATTTACTGCACAGCTACCACAAAGAACACTGCGAGTAGTTCAAAACCTTTTCAAACCGTCACAGATTTACAGAATAAACATGCGCTTGTGGTATAATGCCTTGATTGTAATGACAAGCTTTTAAAATTGCCGTTTGTGCACTTCAGACCGCTCACCGCATGTTTGAGTGTGAGAACGTCTTAGATAGCGATTCTTTTACGTGTTATTGGCCAACGCGCTCTTTTATGTGTCTATAAAACGCTCCAAGGCCACGTTGACTTTTCATGATAGACACTGATCTGGAGGAAACGTTCGTATTGTGTGGAGATAAGTGCAGCATAGAAAAGCATTTTATTATTGACTACTATTCATCGGATTAAACAGGCCTTCCCAAACGCACTCAGTCTGATACATGTTTTGACTTTTATGTTTGCGTGGTTTTGTTGCCTCCACTGAGCTAACAGCTTTCATTTCCTCCAGAGTCCAAATTAACCTAATTGTATCTCCTCATGCTGTGCTTTGAAATAATTTGGTTGACGTTGTAAAAATGAGTTTGGATGTTTACGATAATAGATGCGATTTCATAGAAGGTGAAATGGCATGGGGAGGTCAGTTTTATATTACAAGAGCACACTGCAAAGTCCAAAAATGCTTGGATTAGACAACATTTCTCTTGATTTGAGTGTATCTTGACTCTCTCAAAGCAAGACATGCCAATGAGACAACCCAATGTCTTGTTTTTAAAGAAATAAGAAAATTCTCTCTTGGAATGAAATTTGTATCTGCACTTGCACTGCATTGGAAACTATTGTTTTAAGACGGTCATCATTCTCTCAATTCAAGATAAAAAAGTGCTGATTTAAAGAACTGGATCAGTTTTTACAGGGTCAGTGTATCAGTCTTTACATCCACTGCTATTGTCATTTATTATATGACTTGGACCGTACGTGCGCTCTGATTGGTTGATTTGCGGTCTGATATTTTCCCATCTCGGACCGTTATCATGACAATTGGTCCGAACAGCGCGTATCACATTTGATATCTTTCCTCGGACCGTTACCATGACAATCTGTCCGCAGCGCGTATCACACAAAACCAAGTCGGACATGAACATCCTTCACAAATATCTCAAAAGCATTGGTAAAGACACAGACGAGAGTCATATAATAAAACATTTATTAACCTTGCTTGCTCGGTCTGTACAGAGAAATATCAGACCTTGGCCTTTTTTCACAGACATTACATTAAGGCCGTGGTCTGATATTTCTCCATACAGACCTCGCGCTCGGTTAATAAGCCGTTAATATATTCTGTTGAGAGTTTCTTATTGTGAACACAAAAGTTTTTTTTTATGTGCATGTAAAACAAAGAAAAAGTGTAATTTGTCCCTTCTGATAACGACCAAACTTATTCATAACTTTGACCTGATTAAATCTACAGGGGTAACCTGCCAGGACAGTGAATAATTGCAGCAAAAGCACCAGAGCCCACTTTCAGACTGCGTGCCAAAAGACCTCTGCACAGGAATGAAAGTGTGTTTTAGGTTTATGGGATCGCGTGCTGGAGGAGATGATGCTATACATATGTATTGATGGATTCTTAAAGCTGGAGGACCAGTGACGCTCCCCTTCAGGATGCTCTTGTGGTGCGGACAAAAAGGGTCTTCAGCGCCCGGGATGGAGCTGCAGGTACTGCAGTCCCCTCAGGTGGTACAGGCACTGATGTGCTTTATTCACCATAAACATTGTCCAGCTCAGGTTGTGGGAGATGTGCACCCCTAAACAATCCATTCTCTCCACTGGTGACCCCTTGATGAGAATGGGTAGTGGCTCCCCTGCTTGTTCATGCTCAAGTCCACAATGAGCTATTCAGTTTTGCTAATGTTAAGTCTAAAGTTGGTCCATCTCGTTGGTCTATCGTAGCACCAGGCTCCTGTCACTGCGCTGCTGAACAGAACGTTTCAAGAGCTCCTTTCTTCCTTCGACTGTCAGACTGTACAACAGACCTGGATGAGTCATCTGCTGCTGGACACCTGAATTTCTCCTACAGGGGATCAATAAAGTTTCTATCTATCTATCTATAGATATCTATAGATAGGGTGATAGGTGGAGATCACCCACTATGACTGCTGTGTCGTCTACATACTTAACAATAGCAATGGACTCAGATGTAGAGATGCAGTTGTGGGTGTAAAGTGAATAAAGCAAGGGGCTCAATACACACCCCTCAGGTGCACCAGTGCTAGGGGACAGAGAGCTGGGACTGAGGTGTGCTGACCATCCTTAACATCTGCTGCCCATCAGTAAGGACGTCCAGGACCCACTTGCAGTAAGTGTGTCACTACACTAACCTATCAACAATCAACATGAACACAAATATAAAACCTTGATATATCTCACTTGTGTGTATTGAGTCTGTAATTCAATGTTTCACATTGTAAGAGCCATTTCAGAAGTAAATGGACCTTTGGACAATATTTTATTATTCTAAGTTTAACCTGTACTGAGAGATCACTTTTCACTGAAAAAGCGGATCTAAAGATGTAACAGAAACCAACACACTTAAATCCAGGGATAGAATCCAACTATTTTGCAAATTAGTAACAAGTTACATGGATTTATTTCATAGTTATTTTTGTGGTTTGAATATCAGGTACCCCAACTTTAAATTGGCACTGCACAGAAACTATAGCAACCTGCTTGTCTCCATGGAGCTGAAAAGATCGGCCTGGGATATCACATAGTGTAATAATCAGTGCAGGTGACAACACTGGGGAAGGTGCAGATATGGTTTCATTAACAGCCCCATTGAGGTCACAATCCCCACATCAGTAATGCCCATTTTATAAATACGAGTTCACAAAACGGGTTTATAAAATAATGTGACAATCGACTGTCATCACCCTTAAATGTCCTTGAGAGTAAATCCAGTTGTAAAATTTTAATGCACAAAACCTCCATAATTTTTCCAGATAAGAATGCGCCTTGTGTCACTGAGTTTAAACACTAAAACAAAGGCCTTTATGTGATTTTGGGTAATAAAAGAGGCGATCATAAAGCAGTTGTAGCGGGTTCACTGACCTGGATGAGACGGTGGCCCTGATGAGCAGTCAGCAATTTACCATCTATTCTCAAACTCCATAAACTGCTATTAAAGCGGGTTATTGGCCTCCAGCTCACGGTGCAATGTGGTCATCTGCAGCTGTAATAGTACTCTGGTGTGGTCACATGTATTAGACGGAGGCGGTGGTGGGCTATATAAGACGGCCCCACGCTCCTCTGGGCACCTGGCTCTTCCCTCCCCTTGTGTCAGCACCTCACACCTCCTCTCACCACGTCCACAGAATGGCCTTTGCCGGAAGATGGGAAACTGAATCTCAGGAGGGATATGTGGAGTTCTGCAAGCTGCTTGGTGAGAAAGCAACAGGATTTTAAAGTTAAACATATAGGAAACCTTTTCATTTGGGCTGTGTTCTTTTTTATTTCATTGGTATTCAATATTTGAAGGCAGCGCACCGCGGAATATCAAAAAGCGTTGCTTGAATTCCTTCAATTCTTTCTTGATTTATAAAATAGCTTTAAAGCTGATATCTTTCTCTTTATGGTTTATTTGAAGTTGTTTCAGGGGCACACATTTTATGTATATAAGTATTCAAATATACATAAAATGCAACTTTTCCAAAGAAAAGGGACCAACTTAAAATATGATTAGCAAATAATATAGAATGTCTTGTTTAACCTCAAACAAGAAAACCTAAAGCCATGTCTCAATGGATAAACAAATAAAATGTGAAATGTGAAAACATATTGTCAAATCCTATTACATGACATTCAACATATACTTTAATCAAAATACGTATTTCTTAGTACAAGCACTAGACAGTAACATATACTTTACCGTAGGCTACTTTATTATTACTATTTTCTGTTGTACATCTCCAGAATGTTTCCAAAAAAATTGATCCTTAAAGCTGAGGTACCTATTTTTCTTCTCACAAAAGAAACTACCTGTTTGTGATAAAAATCCATAAAACCAGTCAAACTGATCCATATAACCACTAAAAACTTTTGTGAGACAGAAAAAGTGAGAGATATAAAAAAATATAGCATCTACTAGTCTGAAAAGTCTGTTTTGAGAGCAGTAGCAAAATAGTTTTAACACATCCGCTTTACACACCTCCTATAGGCATTCCCGATGACGTCATTGAGAAGGGGCGTGACTACAAGCTGATCACGGAGGTCACACAGGACGGGGACTCCTTCACATGGACGCACCACTACCCCGCCAACCACAAGGTCACCAACACCTTCTGCGTTGGCAAGGAGTCCGACATGGAGACCATCGGAGGGAAGAAGTTCAAGGTATGAAGCGCAAAAGAAGCAACTGAGGCTGAGAAAAGACTGGGGTTTCACTTTGAACTCAGAAATTATGTTACAATCAATTTTTTTTTCAATGCCGCCTTTTATTGTCTCCAGCGACATCACAGCATCAACTGATTTATGATATAGAAAAGGGATACACTCATTGAAAAAAGTGCATTGAAACTATGGCAGTGACAAGAAGGAAAATAAGTTTAATTTTAACTTAATACGTTTTTTGTATGTATGTATTTATTTATTTCAAACATGTACATGCAGACAAAATATGAATTCATAATTAATAAAACATAACAAGTTACAATTACTATTTAACACATGACATATGATTGTACAAAGTTCTCTCCAAGTTGTGTTGTGTTAGTTTTTATGCATTGTCGTATGTATATTTGTGTATGCATATTGGCATACTTGGAAAAAATCCATCCAATTGAGACTGACATACAAAACATATCTATATAACTTATTGATTTTCTTGATTTTCTCCTTGTTTTCAGGCCACAGTCAGCATGGAGGGAGGCAAGCTGGTCGCTACCTTTCCCAACTACCACCACACAACTGAGATTGTCGGCGGAAAGCTTGTTGAGGTAAAATCATTTCTTAGAATAGTCTATGATATGAGATACATATAGGACATGCCTTTAATAATTTCTTTATGTATTTTTGTTGCCATAGACATCCAAAGCCGGCTCTGTAATTCTGAAGAGAACCAGCAAGAAGATGTAATGTTGACCTCCTGCAGCTATTATCAATAAACTGTGCTCATGAAACCAGCATACTGTGTGATAAAGTCTTTATAGTCATCAGGTTGTAAAAGCATTTAGAAACTACTGAATTAGGCTGCGCACATTTTGAGATAGAAATAATGTAGAGTGTAGCTAAACTTTGACCGTATTATAGAAAGAGTTGTAACGTTTTTATGGGATGGCTCAAAACAGTAATAAAACGGTCCTTGGCTTTTACTCAGTTCTACAGTTTCATAAAAATCACATGCCTATTAACCCATTAGGAATTTGTGTAGACATTTGGTATGAAACGCACAAAATGTGGACTCTTTTAAAGATAGAGAATGAATGCAACTAATTACAAGAATAAATAAAAAGAAACATACAAAAAAATGCAGGGGAAGGGTTTGTGGGAAGCCAGGTTGCTGTATAGAAAGTAAACATCAAAAGATACAATAAAATCAAAAGTGTAAAGTGTTGTAGGGTTTGTTTAGACAAGCGATAGATGTGTAATATTAGGAAAACCAAGAGGCAGTACATTGATGAAAGTAAATAGAAAAAAAGCTCATGTCGAAAAATAATGTAAATTTGTCATTACTTATTTATAGCTCTGTTTATTAATCTTATATCCAAACAATGTTCCTCATAACAAATGGCGATTCTCCACATTAAAATTCCCTTTTTGATTGGATCCACTTTTCAATCCCAATCTGGATTCTTCAAACAATTCTTGTCTTTCCCTCCATCTCGCCCATTTCTCTGTGGCTATGGGCCAAGCAAACAATCAGTTAATTAACCATCTCTATCCCAGGATCACAGTGGAGGCTCTCAGAGGAGGTCTGAAAGGCCTCTCATGTCTCAAATTTACAGCTTAATTACACAAACTGCAATAAGGTAGAAATAATCAAAAAAATGAAAAAATGCTGGACCTCTATCTCGACTGCGCATGCGTGAGTGTCTTGGCCTTGACTGGAGAGCTCTGACTCAATAGCTCCCTAATGAAAACAAAATCTGTGTTTTTTGCCTCTGAGGTGGTGATTGTTTTGGTGTGATAATGAGACATGCCCACTTGCCATCGCAGAGGCAATCAAGATCTCACACTCCTGAAAAATGAGGGTTGGAAGGCAGTGTGCAAAGGTGTAATTTGAACGTGTTTTGTGTAGCGCGGCACTGGCGCAATCACAGTGCAATATCACTTCCTTTGTCCGCCCAGACAAACAGGCCTAATTGGCTATTTCCTGGTATACGACTTGTGATTGGCCATTCTGCCCTTTCCTGATTGGTCTTCATCTTGACACCCGGGATTGGAAAGGAAATGCCGGCTTCAAGGTTTGTGGTTTCCGAAGAATAAATACAGAATCATTGTGAAAATACGTCTATAGTAATATCAACTGAATGGAATTTCACTCATTATGATCCGAGATAAATTGACTGAAGGGTTTCCCAGTTTATATGATGTGGTTTTATATTTGCCACATCATGAGTTATTGTCAGGTGAATGACAAACACTGATGCGTTCTGGTTCATTTGAGAAATGAGCTTTATTTGTGGTCGTAAAGCCACCTTACTTCTGCTGTGACCAGTCCTGCTCCATCCAGTGGCTACACTATCTCTGATGCTAATCTTTCATCAACATCATCATCAAACTTTATTACAGACTCATGGTCCAGGATAAGACAAACACATCACATAAATACACAAAACAACACATATAATCACAACAATAAGCCTCACTTCTCAAAGCAAAGAGCTGTACCAGTGTCTCCACAGATCCGACTACTGTGTGGTAGCTCTCTATCTATCTATCTACTGTATCTATCTATCTATCTACTGTATCTATCTATCTATCTACTGTATCTATCTATCTGTATCTATCTATCTATCTACTGTATCTATCTATCTAGCTATCCATTTATCTATCCTCTCAATCTAACAAGTGAACACCTTTTGAAACAGGTATGTGAAGGATTTTTCTACAAGTGAAGCCGACATGGTCTAGTTAAAGTGAGCCAGGCCAGCAAACTTTAATATACCAGATGCAAATCAGGTAAACAAATCTGATCTATTGATCCATCACAGAAGAAGCATATAAACGTGTTGAAAGGTCAAATTTGCTTCTTTTTTTTTAGAAGCAAATTTTTGAGAATGCCATTTTCATATCCAACCATGCATAGTCTGCTGTTTGTGGGCCCACATATTAATATTCCTGCAGAGGCTGAGCCAGTGCCCTGTGCGGCCCAGCTCTGGACCTCTCTCTGGGGGACACTGCACTCTTTGTTCCTCCCTCATGCCTCACATTCTCCACCACTGCCCTGACTTCTTTACATGCCTGCTCTGTGGGTAATCGTGCCCTGGCCAGCAGCCTGCCAACCGGGGACGTGAGGGTCCACCGAGACATCCAGTCACTCAGACCAGGCTCCATTCATCTGCACTGCGCGGCTGGCTCCTTGTCGCCCTTTGGCCCAGAACAAGGCCTCTCTCTGGGGGACAGTAGTCAGCTTTGTTCCCTCTGTCATGCCTCACATTCCCCAGACCTGCCCTGGGTGTCCCCTGAAGGCAGAGGGCACAGAGGAGGAGTGGTCTGTGTGCGCCCCCATCTTCTCTGCTGATATCATGACTCCATCACCTCCTTTTAGGAAGCTGCTTTCACCGCTGCCCTCTCTGCTCTTTCTTTCCATCAGTTTTTCATCGGGCCATAAAACTAACAACCTTGTTGAAAGCAGTGCAGTGACAGGATCAATTTTTCACTTTGTACAGTTTGTGCTGCAATGACACATGGCCTTATCCTTATGACGCATTGAAGTCATGATTTGTAATAATTGATGTGTTTATTAGGCTCTCAACATATCACCTTGAGTGGTACCGTTGTGTTATACATTATTATCCAAATACCACATGATTATTATACTGCAAGACCTCATGATGAAAATATATAAAAGTATAATTCTGTTTCCTTGACACACTCAGCAGTCCGCTCTGGTATATGTTGCAGCTGTGCCGCAAACTTCTAATCCTTCATTTTCCTTGTCTAACACCTGAGATTATAGCTATTCACGTTGCGTCCTACCCGTGCACCTCGTTTTAGCTGCTTGCACAACACAAAACCTTTCTCGGCACGCCAGGCCTGTCTGTACCTACAGCCCACTTCTATTGAGACAGGAGAAGGGTGGGGGCGTAGGCCATAATTAAAGATGGCGGCCTTGCTGTCACACAATGGCAGTGCACAGTGAAAGCTTTTTATTGCATGTATTTTTCTCAATAGGAGAGTGGGCAGTCTACCCTCGGTGAGCGTTTAATTGGTTTAACAGCTGGAGTGGAGGAGGAGGTGCCGAAGAATGATGGACCAGGAAGACTTTGAGCGAGAGACAAAGAGAAAGTATTTTGTTGTGGCTAATGCCTTTGCAAAACCTATTAAGGTAAAAAAAAGTGTTGTCTGCTACATAGGTTAAAGATGAATACATTTTATTAGAACAGAATGGCCTTGGAGAGAATTTGGGAGGAAAAGCAAAGCAATCAATGTGCGACATTGACAAGAGTTCAAAATTGTCTGGACAATCTATATTGAGGCAGTTGATTCCACCTGGAAGTCATTAGACCTCCAGTAATCCAATTAAATCATGTTTTACATCATTCATAAGATCTCTTGGACTGGATTTATTGCATGATAATATTTATCCGAAGTTATATCCAAAGCACAATAATTCCAAGACAAAACCGTAGCAACATTTACACAGCAACATCATACATCAGTACTGAACTGCACTGATGAGAAGAGTGTATTCCTGGTCCCTCCCTGATGCTTGTGTGTTCTGACAAGTGTCTTTGTCCTGTGGATGTGAGTGTCCTGTGGGTATAGGTGCAGAAGGGGCAGAGCCTGAGGGCGAGGTGAGGCCATACTGGCCCTCAGAGCTTTGGTCTAATGGAGATGTGGTGTTAAGTTTAGGGCCAGACCCCGGGGCATCAGCACAGATTAAAAATGTAATCCACTGCACATTAACACACTGGACTGGAGGTTTGCTTTTGCTGAGCATCATCACGCATTATGTCTGCATGTCTTTCTGCGTATAATATACAGCTCAGGATGAAAGGATTGATACTCACTATTGATATTTCTCAACAAGAAGATCCTGGGATTGAGTCTTGAAGTGAAGTTTGCTACCTTCATAATTGTGCTGAGTGTGGGACCAACCATTCTTTTGATCATAAATGACTCTTATAGATCATATAGAAAGATCATTGCAGTATTTAAACCCCTGTTTGAGGAAAAGCTATTTTTTGTTGTATGGCTACAAGAAGCAAAACATTTACAAATTAAACAACAAATAAACATTAATATCAATACTTTGTTATATACCCTTTATTGGCATTGACAGAGCTCAAACATTTTCTGTAAGTCTTCACAAGGTTTTCACACACTGTTGCTGGTATTTTGGCCTATTCCTCCATGCAGATCTCATCTAGAGCAGTGATGTTTTGGGACTGTCGCTAGGTAACACAGCCTTTCAACACCCTCTAGAGAATCTTCTATGGGGTTGAGATCTGGAGACTGACTAGGTCACTCCAGGACCTTGAGATGCCACTCCTTCGTTGTACTGGCGGTGTGTTTGGGATCATTGTCATGCTGAAAGACCCAGCCACGTTTCATCTTCAATGCCCTTGCTGATAGAAGGAGGTTTCAGTAATTAAGTAAGTAATGTGTATTTATATACCGCCTTTCACAGACCAGAGTCACAAAGCGGTTTACAATTGTTATTTTTTTCACACAGAGATGGGAGCAGGGTCTCACGATACCTATTCTGTCTTTCCTTTACACGGATTAGTCGTCCTGGTCCCTTTGCAGAAAAACAGCCCCAAAGCATGATGTTTCCACCCCCATGCTTCACAGTATGTATGGTGTTCTCTGAATGCAACTCAGCACTCTTTCTCTTCCAAACACGACAAGTTCAGTTTTTACCAAAAAGTTCTATTTTGGTTTCATCTGACCATATGACATTCTCCCAA